TTGCTCTTTGAGCTCTCAGGGAAGGAGTCAGGAAACCAAGAAACACCAGCACTCATAAAGTAAGGTACCATTAGAAGCTGTAACTTGTAGTTCCACCATGAAGTTTCCGTGGAGACTTAAGCACATTTCTTAAACTCTTTGAGCCTAATAAACTCAACTGTGAGACGTGGGGAAGGGGCAAGTTGTTGGATTAGAATTAAGGCTGAATTTGAACTTAGCATCAAGCACATACTTAGTAAATGATTGCTGCTTTCAAAATTGTCATTCACACTTGTCCTAACATTTATGGCATGGCCAGGAGATTTCAAACATAGTGCAGTTTTCTAGAGTGCAATTCTCCCTATACATTAAAGTTAGCCTTAAAATTAAAGCAAACAACTCCCCCCCTCCCAATACTGCAGCCATTAAAAGAATTAAGGAAAGGGGCACCTGGGTGGTTCAGTCGGTGAAGCGGCCGACTTCGGCTCAGGTCATGATCTCGCAGTCTGTGAGTTCAAGTCCTGCATCGGGCTCTGTGCTGACAGCTCAGAGCCTGGAGCCTGTTTCAGATTCTGTGTCTCCCTCTCTCTCTGACCCTCCCCCGTTCATGCTCTGTCTCTCTCTGTCTCAAAAATAAATAAACATTAAAAAAAAAAAAATTACCTGTAAAGACAAAACCAGCAGCTGAGAGGTCCCTCACGGATACCGCTTGCACATAAAATGGCCAGTTCTGGAAGGATTCGAGTCTGGCCCTGTCTTCCTGGTACCTTGCTTTATCGCCTCTCAGCATGTTCTCTGGATTCTTGACTCTTATATCATACTTGCCAATGTTACCAACATCTTTGCCCAAAAGGAACTCACAACGTGGACGAAACTTCTTGTGAAGTTCTATGGGGAGTCTGTGGATGCTGGCACCAAAGAGGATTAAGCTGCAGCAGAAGCACTGAATCCCAGATTTTACGCCAGTGAAATAAAACCCGGCTGCTGCCATCTCCTGTGGCGTCCATGAGCTGTAGTGCTCATAGGTCACAAAACTCTTCAACCTTTTTGCTTCACTGCGCATGTGTGAGTTAAAGCCTTTCTGCATTTTTTCTCGTTCCTTCTGAAATCCTTCTTCCATTTCTTTGGCGAACTGAACTGCATCTATGCCTAGAAAAGCAGACAGCTCCGGGAGCAAAGCAAAATCAAACTCGGAAATCCTATCCTCCTGGGCCGCCTCCTGGGCCGCCATTTTCTGAAAAGGAAAGAAAAGCAGGTTGATGAACTTCCACCTGAGCAGCTGCAGGTAAGTCACCATTTAGGTCAAAGGCATAAAACAGGGTCTCCCATAGCACCATCATATAACAAGCCACAGCATGCCTGCTTGCATTCTCCACACTCTGGGAGCCTCAGGAGTCTTCTGTTAATCCCTGTTAATTTTCTGTTAAACTTCTGTTAATCCCTGTTAATCTTCTGTTAAACCCAACATGAAGTTGGGTGGTTCCGCTCTGCAAGGTGGGCTTTTGCACTTCCCACCCACTCCCGCCTTTACCAGGTTCAGCTGATCAAGAACTTGCCAATCTACCCACATTTCTGCAAAAGCTGCAGCTGAGGATCTTGATTAAGAGCAAGCATGCCCTTCATTTGGCCGGATCCAGTGCAAGGAAGAGCTCCTTTGTCATTAGTGCAGGAAATGTGTCTCCGAGGAGGTTATCCAGGAAGGTCTATCAGACCAGAAGGTTACCGAGGTTTCGACGGAATCGCCCCTTTGTTTCAATTCTCTGTTGCCCTGTACAGTCCCTTTGGTGGCTAGCAGATGAGAGTCACATTATGACCAAAAGAAGTATCTCCCCAACTCTCCTTTGCCATCACATCCCTTCCCAGAATGAACAGATCAAACCTTGGTGGGCTCGGCTGCCTGAGGCTCTTACTTTCATTTTTGCCAAAGCAGCCCAAACCCGCCAAGAAATGGTTTTCTTGGAGGACTTCCTCTCTGAGTTTGTGTGAATAGCTTAGCTCTTTGCTCTGGTTCAGGATCTACTACTGGTCCCTCCCTGCTCTGCTTTTCCTCCCATCAATAGTTCTCCTACTTGAAATCAAGCCACTGATGCCTCAGCAGCCAGCCTGGCCTCTGTGGCTTGAACTCTTTGCATTCTTTTCTCATTCTCCCACTTTTCATTCTTTTTTTTTTTTCTCCCAAAGTCTTAGCCATCATTTAAATTTAAAAGAGGAACCATGGGTATGCAATCACAGTGCCCTGTCTCCAGCCATCACCCAGGGT